TCAAACTTGAAGCTCGAACCTCCACTATTCTCTGCATTCAGTGGTCCACACGGGTTTAGCGCCTCATATCAATAATGTAACTTTCGATCAGTTTTATTGCACATATTTGGAACCTTCTCATCTTTGTCTGCCTCTTAATTTTTAAATATATATTGCTGCCATAAATTCAAATTGGGTATTTTCCTGTCTATATATTCGAAAAATAGAAAAATGCATTTTGTGTGTGCCTGCCTAGCTCGTTGCTGCCTTCCTCCCTGCCTACCTCCCTGCCTACCTCCCTGCCTTCCTGCTTCGTGCTTGTCCGTCTACCTTCCTGCTTCGTGCTTGTCCGCCTACCTACCTGCTTCGTGCTTGCCCGTCTACCTCCCTTCCTGCTTGGTTTTTGCCTGCCTGCGTGTCTGAGAGCAAGGTCAGGAGGCCAGTTGAATACACACGTCACTCCCACAACACAACATATGATTTACTTCACTTTCTCGACACCCTTTTAACATTATATCATTCTCTCTCTCTCTCTCTCTCTCTCTCTCTCTCTCTCTCTCTCTCTCTCTCTCCTCTCTCTCTCTCTCTCTCTCTCTACTCTCTCTCTCTCTCCTCTCTCTCTCTCTCTCACTGGTGTTCATAAACAAGCCTTGCTCACTGGATCTAATTGGAAGAGGTTGTTATGCCAAATTGGCAACGCTCACATATTATTTTCTGCCAGTTCATAATACACTCACAAACTGAACATTTTCATGTTTAATAATAAAATGAACCTAACATTACTTGCTTTACAACAACAATAATAGTAGGTTGATTTTTTGACTAATTTATTTGTTACATAAATCTGCACACAGAAAATTTCAGAAAATTTCTCTTCTCGATCTCCATTTTGTACAACGATGGTTGTAACATTTGTTGACAATGTCTTCCGTTTTCCACAACAATTAACAGTATTGTCCGGGGAGGGGGGATCTCCCGTCTCTCTATAGCAGTTAACTGTGTCAGGGGCTGGGATCCAACGGCCCCACAATAGTTACCTGTGTCAGGGGCTGGGATCTAAAGGCCCCACAATAGTTACCTGTGTCAGGGGCTGGGATCCAACGGCCCCACAATAGTTACCTGTGTCAGGGGCTGGGATCTAAAGGCCCCACAATAGTTACCTATGTCAGGGGCTGGGATCCAACGGCCTCACAATAGTTAACTGTCAGGGGATAGGATCCAGCTGTTCCACAACAGTTAACTAAGTCAGAGACTGGGAGGTAAGGGAGGTGGGATCACCCGCCCCCACAACAGCTAACAGTGTCAGAGGCTGGGATCACACGCCCCCGCAACAGTTAACAGTATCAGGGGCTGGGATCACACGCCCCCACAACAGTTAACGGTATCAGAGGCTGGGATCACACGCCCCCACAACAGTTAACAGTATCAGGGGCTGGGATCACACGTCCCCACAACAGTTAACACTATCAGGGGCTGGGATCACACACCCCCACACCAGTTAACAGTATCAGGGGCTGGGATCACACGCCCCCACAACAGTTAACAGTATCAGAGGTTGGGATCACACGCCCCAACAACAGTTAACAGTATCAGGGGCTGGGATCACACCCCCCACAACAGTTAACAGTATCAGGGGCTGGGATCACACCCCCCACAACAGTTAACAGTATCAGGGGCTGGGATCACACCCCCAAACAGTTAACAGTATCAGGGGCTGGGATCACCCTCCCCATAACAGTTAACAGTATCAGGGGCTGAGATCACACACCCCCACAACAGTTAAAAGTATCAGGGGCTGGGATCACACGCCCCCACAACAGTTAACAGTATCAGTGGCTGGGATCACACGCCCCCACAACAGTTAACAGTATCAGAGGTTGGGATCACACGCCCCACAACAGTTAACAGTATCAGGGGCTGGGATCACACGCCCCCACACCAGTTAACAGTATCAGGGGCTGGGATCACACGCCCCCACAACAGTTAACAGTATCAGAGGCTGGGATCACACACCCCCACAACAGTTAACAGTATCAGGGACTGGGATCACACCCCCCCCCACAACAGTTAACATTATCAGGGGCTGGGATCACACGCCCCCACAACAGTTAACAGTATCAGGGGCTGGGATCACACGACCCCACAACAGTTAATAGTATCAGAGGTTGGGATCACACGCCCCCACAACAGTTAACAGTATCAGGGGCTGGGATCACACGCCCCCACAACAGTTAACAGTATTAGGGGCTGGGATCACACGCCCCCACAACAGTTAATAGTATCAGAGGTTGGGATCACACGCCCCCACAACAGTTAACAGTATCAGGGGCTGGGATCACACGACCCCACAACAGTTAATAGTATCAGAGGTTGGGATCACACGCCCCCACAACAGTTAACAGTATCAGGGGCTGGGATCACACGCCCCCACAACAGTTAACAGTATTAGGGGCTGGGATCACACGCCCCCACAACAGTTAATAGTATCAGAGGTTGGGATCACACGCCCCCACAACAGTTAACAGTATCAGGGGCTGGGATCACACGCCCCCACAACAGTTAACAGTATTAGGGGCTGGGATCACACGCCCCCACAACAGTTAATAGTATCAGAGGTTGGGATCACACGCCCCCACAACAGTTAACAGTATCAGGGGCTGGGATCACACACCCCCCACAACAGTTAACAGTATCAGGGGCTGGAATGACACGCCCCCACAACAGTTAATAGTATCAGGGGCTGGGATGACACCCCCCACAACAGTTAACAGTATCAGGGGCTGAGATGACACCCCCCCACAACAGTTAACAGTATCAGGGGCTGGGATGACACGCCCCCACAACAGTTAACAGTATCAGGGGCTGGGATCGCACCCCCCACAACAGTTAACAGTATCAGGGGCTGGGATCACACGCCCCCACAACAGTTAACTTTATCAGGGGCTGGTATCGCAACCCCCACAACAGTTAACAGTATCAGGGGCTGAGATCACACACCCCCACACCAGTTAACTTTATCAGGGGCTGGGATCGCAACCCCCACAACAGTTAACAGTATCAGGGGCTGAGATCACACGTCCCCACAACATTTAACAGTGTAATGGAGGTGGGACCCCTTCTTCATCCAGCTCCATAAACATGTGTTGTTGCGATTCTTGAAGCCTTGTGTACATCCAGTCCTGTGTGGTGGAGTGAGACTAGAAAACCATTACAATTCACGACGTTTCGGTCCCTCCTGGACCACTATCAGAAGTGTGTATCTCTGTATACAGGCCTACACTACTCGCTTTAATACTTTCCCTTGATTTCCATTATCCTGTTTTTTGTTGTTGTTGTTTTTTGAGTATAAATGGATTTCGTTCATAGTAGCTATTTCATTATTCAATATGTATTAAACTTATTAAGGAATAAACCTGTCAAAAGAGAATTTAAACCATAAGTACTTGTTTCACATGTGCATATTGTTCTTAAAATCTTTTTATACATGCACACGATATCTGTTGATAATTGACAACTTCTGACTAACACACATACACAGCAAGTTGGAAGGTAAGGCCAGGAGCTAAGACCCGACCACCGCAACCGCGTATGAGTACACGCACACACAAACACGCCCACGCACGCGTCATTTGGAAGATTATTCTCATCTCAGTGACAATAATCATGTTTAATTATCCTGGCTAATATTCCACTGTAATTAAGCTGCCAGATTTGGTCTTAAGATGAAGTGTTATCTTGCTCCACAGGTCTCAGTGGTCAACAAGTCGTGGTTCACAGGTCTCAGTGGCCCACATATTGTGGTCTGCCAATCTTCTTAGTGTTTGACAGGTCGTGCTCCACACGTGTGTTCGTGTTCAACATGTTGCCTTAGAGTGCTGTACACCGACAAGGTGGGCAGGTTCCAGGGCTCGAGAGGTACTAGCCTAAACTGTAATTTGAACATATTCCACTTCTGCGATGTACACAGGAATGTATTGGTTCTAGGAACAGTAGTTTACGAAACATTGTCAGACAGAAACTGGCAAACGAGCTTGTAGAAAGTAGAACAGTACCAATAGGAACTAGCAGATCCACTATCCATCACAGTGAAATGTGTCAGGTTAAACATATCTATGGAGAAAATAAGGTCAGATTGCAAGATGTTACTGCTAGATTAAGGCTAGGCTATAACTATCTCCGGCGGTACGGTTTGTATGGAGAAATCAGTGCCATAAAGTGCAGTGTGTGGTCAGAGACAGTGTCATACACTGGAGCATTTTATCTTAAGTGTCCAAACATACAACCTTTCAAAGACGCCTCCATCCAAACCTTACAGGATATGACAAAGAACATTATTGTTAATAAGATAACAAATCTTGAGGTTGTAGCCACAGTTTGCATCGACTAGATGAATGAATTATTTTTATACAGGATTACAACCAATTATGACCAATGTATTTTTAGTGGTAATAAGATATATATTTTTTAATTGTATTCCATACCGTATTGTGTGCATTAACTATATGAAGTATTTGTAAAATATGAAATAACATACTTTTTTCTGGTGATGTAATATTGCCCAGTGAGAGTCTGATATAGACCCATTGTGACCTCAGATAAGTGACTTCACAAAAGATAGAAAGAACGGAGACTGAATGAACAAGGAATGATCAGAAGCGCCAAATCGATTATTATTATTATTACTATTATTACTTTTATTATTATTATTATTATTATTATTATTATTATTATTATTATTATTATTATTATTATGATTATTGTTACTACTACTACTACTACTACTACTACTCATGCAGCATCTCATTCTAAATTTCATCTGTCCCAGCTGCTGTACCCCTCGAATCCTACGTACTACCTCGACCACTTGCCTCACACCATTTCTGGTTCTACTCCTAACATCTATTCCGCCTTGCCCCAGACATGATATTACCACCTTCCTTTCATCATCAGTATTTAACAACTCATAATATTCTTACCATCTTTCCAATACCTTCACATTTCTATGTAACATCTCACCTCTTTCATTCTTCTCTGCCAACATTTCTAGAGGTCATATAGTTACTGCGAAATTGAAGATAATCAGGTTTGATATGAGAAACGGGAGGGTAGAATCCATTTCCTTGTAAAAAAAAGGTATCCCTTGAAGAGAACGCGAAGTGGAAAAGGCGTATTTTACCTATGACGAGGTGGACGGAGAGGGCGTTCTTGTCGAGCGTGAGGGACCACACGTGAAGGTTGTGGACGGATCTGACCCCAGGCAGGCCCTCCAGGTCGTTCAACAGGTCCATGTAGTCCACGTTCCTCGGAGTGCCTTCCATGAGGACGTGTGCCAGGTCTCGCAGAATGGGCAGAGTCGTCGCCACCACGATGATGCCAAACACGAAGGTCAGGATGGGGTCGGCCACTCTGTACTGTGGCTGGTGATGGGTTGAGGGACAGCATTTTGTTATTGATGGGTTATGATTGAGGAAAGGGAGGGCGCAATACGTGTGTTGTGACTGGAGGGGAAAGAAACATTTGTAATTAGGGGATGGGACGGTGTTATACGTGTAATGTGACTGGGGGAAGGAAGGTATGTGACTGGGAGAATGGAAGCTGCTGTTGGTGACTTGTGACTGGGAGGAGTTAGGATCATTTGTTGGTAGCTTTGTGTGTGGTACACGAGTTAATTACTGGATGTTGCACTGCATCGTGTGTATTAATGTTGTGTGCATGGAGGATTGAATAACTGCTGCTGAGTTGCAGTGTTTTGTTAATCTCATAACTCCTTCCTTTTTTCCCAGAATCTCTGAAGTCTGCATTATCTGCAGAACTTATAAAAATATTACAAGATTCATATGAACTCCTAAAGAAGATTCTTGAAGCTTTTCCAATATCCTTTCAGAGTCCTTCAAATATCGTTCCAGCACCGTTCCAGCACATTTTTGCAATCATTCCAGAACAGTTCTAGTTCCCATTCAGGACTGTTAGAATCTTTTCAATAATTTTAGAACTTTTCCGAAACAATAAATTTAGAATTCTTCCAAAACACTTGTATAACTCTTCAAGAACCATGTGACAGTATTCACTACACATTAAAAATTAAAATTAATACTCAAAAACTCATTCAGAACCTTAAGAGATTATTATTATATTTATGTGGTCCGTATAGGCCACTCGTCTCAAGGAGTCGCGAAGGCTCGATCCTCCTGCTTGTAACCTGGCAAAACATACAAGTTACACTTAGCACTGTATAAACGTTGCAAGAGTGTTTCCTGCAGGAGGACTCACCCAGAACTTGACGACGAGAGCAGCAATAAGCACAGCGACAGTCTGCAGTGTGTCACCCACCACATGGATGAGTGCTGCCCTCACGTTCACGTTGGTACGTCGGTCACTCTTGTGTGCCCCGTGGAAGTACCCGTGGCACCCACACCCGTGCAGGATGCCAGCGATGCTGCCACCAAGGAGAGTTATGGGTGTGGTGGTAATATTAACGTAGCGGCGGTAATGAAATGTTGGTAGTGGTGGTGGAGTGTTGACGATGATGTAGTGGTGGTGTTGGTGATGGTTGTATTGGTGGTGATACCTTGATACTAAAGAAGTGTTCTTGATTCATAATAAGAATAATAAAAGAAAGAATAGATGATAGCCAAAACCACAGTCCGGTGATCGTACAGACATACAGACATCTGTTGATCTTGTTCGCCTAGGTGGGTGAAGTGGAGAAGGGAAGAAACAGAAGTCATGAGTTAGGGAAGAGAAGAAAAATGATGAATGGGAGAAGAAAATGAAACGAGTGAAGGAAGAGAAGAAAGACATTATGAATGGGAGAAGAGAAGAAAATGAAATGCTAAGTGGGGAAGAGAAGAAAGAGAAATGATGAGTGGGGGACAAGAAAAATGAGAAATTGTAAGTGGGTAAGAAAAGAAACAGAAATGATGAGTCGTATAAGTGAAGAAATATTAATGACGAGTAGGGGAACAGGAGTGATAAAATATTGGCTTAAACTTGAGAGAAAAGAGAGGAAAAAATATTTAAGCAAAGAAATGAAACAACTCTCTACGTTATCTTGTGTTTAAAGACAGTCACAGACTTCGATTATGATAATAATATTATTATTGTTACTATTATTATTTGTATTATTATTATTGTGTAAGGGGGGGGGGTAAATTCAGAAGGAGGGGAAAGGAGTAATTACGAAGAGGAGGAATATGGAATACATTTGGCAGATATAGCAAGTGTATGGAATAATTGATAGAGTAATTAAAACAGATGTGAGTAATTTTGAGGATAGTGAGGCTCAGGTTAGGTGTGTAGGAGAGAGGAAGATTACTTCCCAGTAACAGTAGGCCTTAGGGATGCCTGAGGTAACCATGGTTGTTTAATATATTTATACATGGGGTTGTGAAAGAAGTGAATGCTAAGGTGTTCGGGAGAGTTGTGGGATTAAAAAAATAAAGAATCGAATTCAAAGTAGGAGTTATCATAGCTGTTTTTTGCCGATGACATGGTGATCTTATTGCATATATATATATATTATATATATTATATATATATATATATTTATATATATTATTATATATATATATATATATAGAGAGAGGGGAGAGAGAGAGGAGAGAGAGAGAGAGATGAGAGAGAGAGGAGAGATACAGACAGAGACAGACAGACATAGATATTGCATTCTGGTCAACAAAACTATGACAAGTCACTTAATATAGAAAATGACGTAAATTTAAAATCCAGCTGCCCCGCGGAATGTACGGTATTTCGTTAAAAAGTTATGAAATATTTTTATCTGGGTCAACGCGAGTCACATGAAAACATATAAAAATATAAAACAAATTTATTACATATAGTCTTTGAGGCAAATAAATGTCGCTAATTATCCAGTAAAATTCTTCGAAAAAAAGTCGTTTTCAACTTAAAATCATTAATTGCAATACTGTATTTATTTGTGTGTTTATAAGTATGTACACATACAAAAACACCACACACACAACACAACACACACACACACACACACACCACACACACACACAACCACACACACACACAAAGGAGGCTGAGGAGAGGTTTGTACCCAAGGGTAACAGGAGTAATGAAAAAGCCAGGATGAGCCCATGGTTTACCCAAAGGTGCAGGGAGGCAAAAAACCCAAATGTGCTAGGGAATGGAAGAAATATAGAAGGCAAAGGGGCCCAGGGAGAATAAGGAGAACAGTCGTAGAGCCAGAAATGAATATGCACAGATAAGAAGGGGGCCCAAAGACAATATGAAAATGACATAGCAGCGCAAAGCCAATTGACCCCAAACTGTTGTACAGCCACATCAGGAGGAAAACAACAGTCAAGGGGCCAGGTAATCAGGCTAAGGAAGGAAGGAGGAGAGACAACAGGAAATGACCCGGGAAGTATGTGAAGAACTCAACAAGAGATTCAAAGAAGTGTTCACAGAGGAGACAGAAGGGACTCCAGAAAGACGGAGAGGTGGGGCACACCCCAAGTGCTGGACACAGTGCACACAAAAGAGGAAGAAGTGAAGAGGCTTCTGAGTGAGCTAGATACCTCAAAGCAATGGGGCCAGATTAACATCTCCCCATGGGTATTGAGAGAGGGAGCAGAGGCGTATGTGTACCCCTAACAAAAAATATTCAATACATCTATCGAAAACAGGGAGATTGCCTGAGGCATGGAAGACAGCAAAAGTAGTCCCAATCTTTAAAAAAGGGGACAGACATGAAGCATTAAAATACAGACCCCTGTCACTGACATGTATAGTATGCAAAATCATGGAGAAGATTATCAGGAGAAGAGTGGTGGAACACCTAGAAAGGAATGATCTCATCAACAGCAGCCAGCATGGTTTCAGGGACGGGAAATCCTGTGTCACAAACCTACTGGAGTTCTATGACATGGTGACAGCAGTAAGACAAGAGAGAGAGGGGTGGGTGGATTGCATTTTCTTGGACTGCAAGAAGGCGTTTTGACACAGTTCCACACAAGAGATTGGTGCAAAAACTGGAGGACCAAGCAGGGATAACAGGGGAAGGCACTACAATGGATCAGGGAATACTTGTCAGGAAGACAGCAGCGAGTCATGGTACGTGGCGAGGTGTCAGAGTGGGCACCTGTGACCAGCGGGGTCCCGCAGGGGTCAGTCTAGGACCAGTGCTGTTTCTGGTATTTGTGAACGACATGACGGAAGGAATAGACTCTGAGGTGTCCTGTTTGCAGATGACGTGAAGTTGATGAGAAGAATACACTCGATCGAAGACCAGGCAGAAACTACAAAGGGATCTGGACAGGCTGCAGAACTGGTCCAGCAATTGGCTCCTGGAGTTCAATCCCACCAAGTGCAAAGTCATGAAGATTGGGGAAGGGCAAAGAAGGCCGCAAACGGAGTACAGTCTAGGGGGTCAGAGACTACAAACCTCACTCAAGGAAAAAGATCTTGGGGTGAGTATAACACCAGGCACATCTCCTGAAGCGCACATCAACCAAATAACTGCTGCAGCATATGGGCGCCTAGCAAACCTCAGAACAGCATTCCGACATCTTAATAAGGAATCGTTCAGGACCCTGTACACCGTATACGTTAGGCCCATATTGGAGTATGCGGCACCAGTTTGGAACCCACACCTAGCCAAGCACGTAAAGAAACTAGAGAAAGTGCAAAGGTTTGCAACAAGACTAGTCCAGAGCTAAGAGGTATGTCCTACGAGGAGAGGTTAAGGGAAATCAACCTGACGACACTGGAGGACAGGAGAGATAGGGGGGACATGATAACGACATACAAAATACTGAGAGAGGAATTGACAAGGTGGACAAAAAACAGGATGTTCCAGAGATTGGACACAGTAACAAGGGGACACAGTTGGAAGCTAAAGACACAGATGAATCACAGGGATGTTAGGAAGTATTTCTTCAGCACACAGAGTAGTCAGTAAGTGGAATAGTTTGGGAAGCGATGTAGTGGAGGCAGGATCCATACATAGCTTTAAGCAGAGGTACGATAAAGCTCACGGCTCAGGGAGAGTGACCTAGTAGCGATCAGTGAAGAGGCGGGGCCAGGAGCTCGGACTCGACCCCCGCAACCTCAACTAGGTGAGTACAACTAGGTGAGTACACACACACACATATATATATACATATATATATATATATATATATATATATATATTATATATATATATATATATATATATATATATATATATATATATATATATATATATATATATAAAGACTGGCTGTCTCCCACCGAGGCAGGGTGACCCCAAAATGAAACACTTTCACTATCATACACATTATAACTGCCTTGCCAGATGGATGGGTCTGCAGCAGACCCATCACTGCAGAGAAGAGTTTACGTGTTATACTCGATCATAGGATAACTGAAATAGGGTAATGAAATACCTGCCGATGTACACTCTGCTGTAACCCCAACAAAGTGACGTCAATAGGATACTTGTACACAGCTTACATAATGTTGATTCCTATGCCGGTGAGAGCCATAACGAGCATGATGTTGGGATCAAGAATGTAGGTCTGGTAGAGTAACCTGTGTACGGCAGCAGCTACCAGGATACCTGTCACCACCCACACTATCAACACGCTCGCCACCGAGCCAAGCACTTCTGCGAGAAAGAATATATATATATATATATATATATATATATATATATATATATATATATATTATATATATATATATATATATATATATATATATATATATATGTGTGTGTGTGGTGTGTGTGTGTGTGTGTGTATTTACTACTCTAATAAGATATATCATTAACTATTCCTCCTATATTTTTTTCACTGTTGTTTCTTCATGGGGATATCTTGATGGCAGTTATGGGTTCTTGATTCAAGGAACTGGAGCTACATCCTACCTCTATGGATAAATCCTAATTACCTCCTATTCCTCAGGTTGGTAGGTAAGACACATGGGCAACAGTTAGTCAGTTTTATACCATTTTATTATTCACTATTCCTCAGGTGTTTGTATCATTACATTAATGATTTAATAATACGAACCAGGTGATGAATAAGATAATGTGCAACACCTGCTATCTTTATTAGCAAGAAGTGACCGACGCTGAGATTTATCCAAATTAACACTGATCAAGGCTAACACTGATCAAGGCTCACACTGATCAAGGCTCACACTGATCAAGGCTCACACTGATCAAGGCTCACACTGATCAAGGCTCACACTGATCAAGGCTCACACTGATCAAGGCTCACACTGATCAAGGCTAACACTGATCAAGGCTCATACTGATCAAGGCTAACACTGATCAAGGCTCACACTGATCAAGGCTCACACTGATCAAGGCTCACACTGATCAAGGCTAACACTGATCAAGGCTATACTGATCAAGGCTAACACTGATCAAGGCTCACACTGATCAAGGCTCACACTGACCAAGGCTCACACTGATCAAGGCTCACACTGATCAAGGCTCACACTGATCAAGGCTCACACTGATCAAGGCTAACACTGATCAAGGCTCATACTGATCAAGGCTAACACTGATCAAGGCATCACACTGATCAAGGCTCACACTGATCAAAGGCTAACACTGATCAAGGCTCATACTGATCAAGGCTAACACTGATCAAGGCTCACATTGATCAAGGCTAACACTGATCAAGGCTCACACTGATCAAGGCTAACACTGATCAAGGCTAACACTGATCAAGGCTCATACTGATCAAGGCTAACACTGATCAAGGCTCACACTGATCAAGGCTAACACTGATCAAGGCTCACACTGATCAAGGCTAACACTGATCAAGGCTAACACTGATCAAGGCTCATACTGATCAAGGCTAACACTGATCAAGGCTCACACTGATCAAGGCTAACACTGATCAAGGCTCACACTGATCAAGGCTAACATTCGTCAAAGCTAAATGATAGAAAGCTTTTCATCAAGGCTGAGTGACTGATTACCATATCTTCCACTAACTCGAGTACGTAGTCTCTGCAGTAAATTGATGAAAAGCCACTGGTTGGCGATACGTCTTCATAATAAAGAGCTCTAGGCGCTATATGATCCTGCTGGTTTAGCGCTTCCCCGTGTATGTAATATACAAGAGGTTAAGTTTTCTATGGACTGCTGGAAGTGTAAGCAAGGTAATATTCAGAGAGGGATTCAGGGAAACCGGTTACCCGGACCTAAGAGGCACATAAGTACCTCTGTCTTCTAAAAACATGTCCATTTTTCCACTATAATCTACTTTGTCCATAATTACTATGGCATTTGCTTTGTCTATTTCGTAAAGTGAAGTCCAGGATCTTTCCTTAATTCATGGTATAACTTTACAAATCTTTGAGGTCTGAACTTTGCTCAGACCTCTCCAGTACAATTGTCCTCAAAGATTTGTTAAGTTATAATATGAATTAAGGAAAGATCCTGGACTTCACCTTATGAAACAGACAAAGCAAATAAGAACATAGGAAAGAAGGAACATTGCAGCAGGCCCATTGGCCCATGCAAGGCAGGTCCAAGTCGCCTACCAGCCCATGCCAGTGACCCAACCTAGTTAGGTCGCGATAGTAATTATGGACAAGGCAGATTATAGGGGAAAAATTAACATGTTATTAGAAGACGGAGGAACTTACGTACCTCTTTAGTCCTGGAGTTGAGAGGTACAGTACCTGCACTCTGAAGGAGGGGTGGGCATGTTGCAGTTTGGAAGGGCATGTGAGTTGTAATGTCGACAGGATCACTTACAGTACCGGAGAACGTATTTCGATTATTCAAAGCGGTTTGAAGCATTTTTCTGAATTACCTCATTTTTTTTTTTTAGCTAAATTACGCAAATTAAATTTTAATCGAAACTGCTGCTACATTTGCTTTTTTTTTTTTTTTAGAAAAAGTAATCCATCTGCAAACAAGAAGGGAGATTACAGGAGTTACCTGCACGGTAGTAGCCGAAGCTCATATTCCTGGATGGAGGTCGCCGCATGAGCCAGATGGCCAGGAGAGAGACGAGGAACCCGCAGAAATCACTGAGGAGGTGGCCAGCGTCAGATAGCACCGCCAGGCTGGACGAGTAGAACCCACCCACGTACTCCAGCACCTGCACGCCGCCACATGGGTTACCAGGATGACCATTGGATGATATTGTTCATGAACAACTTGCATATAAAACGATGTATTCATGAACAGATATTAATAAATGTTTTAAAGACTGGTTCAGAAACCCTTGAAGGCAAAGACAATCAATGACGCTTAACATGAAGACAAGAAGACAGCCACAGACACTCACCGTGAAGACAAGAAGACAGCCACAGACACTCACCGTGAAGACAAGAAGACAGCCACAGACACTCACCGTGAAGACAAGAAGACAGCCACAGACACTCACGTGAAGACAAGAAGACAGCCACAGACACTCACCGTGAAGACAAGAAGACAGCCACAGACACTCACCGTGAAGACAAGAAGACAGCCACAGACACTCACCGTGAAGACAAGAAGACAGCCACAGACACTCACCGTGAAGACAAGAAGACAGCCACAGACACTCACCGTGAAGACAAGAAGACAGCCACAGACACTCATCATGAAGACAAGAAGACAGCCACAGACACTCACCGTGAAGACAAGAAGACAGCCACAGACACTCACCATGAAGACAAGAAGACAGCCACAGACACTCACCGTGAAGACAAGAAGACAGCCACAGACACTCACCGTGAAGACAAGAAGACAGCCACAGACACTCACCGTGAAGACAAGAAGACAGCCACAGACACACCATGAAGACAAGAAGACAGCCACAGACACTCACCGTGAAGACAAGAAGACAGCCACAGACACTCACCGTGAAGACAAGAAGACAGCCACAGACACACCATGAAGACAAGAAGACAGCCACAGACACTCACCGTGAAGACAAGAAGACAGCCACAGACACACCATGAAGACAAGAAGACAGCCACAGACACTCACCGTGAAGACAAGAAGACAGCCACAGACACTCATCATGAAGACAAGAAGATAGCCACAGACACTCACCATGAAGACAAGAAGACAGCCACAGACACTCACCGTGAAGACAAGAAGACAGCCACAGACACTCACCATGAAGACAAGAAGACAGCCACAGACACTCATCATGAAGACAAGAAGACAGCCACAGACACTCACCATGAAGACAAGAAGACAGCCACAGACACTCACCGTGAAGAGAAGAAGACAGCCACAGACACTCACCATGAAGACAAGAAGACAGCCACAGACACTCACCGTGAAGACAAGAAGACAGACACTCACCATGAAGACAAGAAGACAGTCACAGACACTCACCGTGAAGACAAGAAGACAGCCACAGACACTCACCATGAAGACAAGAAGACAGCCACAGACACTCATCATGAAGACAAGAAGACAGACACTCACCATGAAGACAAGAAGACAGCCACAGACACTCACCATGAAGACAAGAAGACAGCCACAGACACTCATCATGAAGACAAGAAGACAGCCACAGACACTCACCATGAAGACAAGAAGACAGCCACAGACACTCACCATGAAGACAAGAAGACAGCCACAGACACTCACCATGAAGACAAGAAGACAGCCACAGACACTCATCATGAAGACAAGAAGACAGCCACAGACACTCATCATGAAGACAAGAAGACAGCCACAGACGCTCATCATGAAGACAAGAAGACAGCCACAGACACTCATCATGAAGACAAGAAGACAGCCACAGACACTCACCATGAAGACAAGAAGACAGCCACAGACACTCACCGGTAAGACAAGAAGACAGCCACAGACAGTCATCATGAAGACAAGAAGACAGCCACAGACACTCACCGGTAAGACAAGAAGACAGCCACAGACACTCATGAAGACAAGAAGACAGCCACAGACACTCATGAAGACAAGAAGACAGCCACAGACACTCACCGTGAAGACAAGAAGACAGCCACAGACACTCACCATGAAGACAAGAAGACAGCCACAGACACTCATCATGAAGACAAGAAGACAGCCACAGACACTCATCATGAAGACAAGAAGACAGCCACAGACACTCACCGTGAAGACAAGAAGACAGCCACAGACACTCACCGTGAAGACAAGAAGACAGCCACAGACACTCACCATGAAGACAAGAAGACAGCCACAGACACTCACCGTGAAGACAAGAAGACAGCCACAGACACTCACCGTGAAGACAAGAAGACAGACACTCACCATGAAGACAAGAAGACATCCACAGACACTCACCATGAAGACAAGAAGACAGCCACAGACACTCACCATGAAGACAAGAAGACAGCCACAGACACTCATCATGAAGACAAGAAGACAGCCACAGACACTCATCATGAAGACAAGAAGACAGCCACAGACACTCACCATGAAGACAAGAAGACAGCCACAGACACTCACCATGAAGACAAGAAGACAGCCACAGACACTCACCGTGAAGACAAGAAGACAGACACTCACCATGAAGACAAGAAGACAGCCACAGACACTCACCATGAAGACAAGAAGACAGCCACAGACACTCACCATGAAGACAAGAAGACAGCCACAGACACTCATCATGAAGACAAGAAGACAGCCACAGACACTCATCATGAAGACAAGAAGACAGCCACAGACACTCATCATGAAGACAAGAAGACAGCCACAGACACTCACCATGAAGACAAGAAGACAGCCACAGACACTCATCATGAAGACAAGAAGACAGCCACAGACACTCATCATGAAGACAAGAAGACAGCCACAGACACTCATCATGAAGACAAGAAGACAGCCACAGACACTCACCATGAAGACAAGAAGACAGCCACAGACACTCATCATGAAGACAAGAAGACAGCCACAGACACTCATCATGAAGACAAGAAGACAGCCACAGACACTCATCATGAAGACAAGAAGACAGCTACAGACACTCACCATGAAGACAAGAAGACAGTCACAGACACTCATCATGAAGACAAGAAGACAGCCACAGACACTCACCATGAAGACAAGAAGACAGCCACAGACACTCATCATGAAGACAAGAAGACAGCCACAGACACTCATCATGAAGACAAGAAGACAGCCACAGACACTCACCGTGAAGACAAGAAGACAACCACAGACACTCACCATGAAGACGAGAAGACAGCCACAGACACTCATCATGAAGACAAGAAGACAGCCACAGACACTCATCATGAAGACAAGAAGACAGCTACAGACACTCACCATGAAGACAAGAAGACAGCCACAGACACTCATCATGAAGACAAGAAGACAGCCACAGACACTCACCATGAAGACAAGAAGGCAGCCACAGACACTCATCATGAAGACAAGAAGACAGCCACAGACACTCATCATGAAGACAAGAAGACAGCCATAGACACTCACCATGAAGACAAGAAGACAGCACAGACACTCATCATGAAGACAAGAAGACAGCCACAGACACTCATCATGAAGACAAGAAGACAGCCACAGACACTCACCATGAAGACAAGAAGACAGCCACAGACACTCATCATGAAGACAAGAAGACAGCCACAGACACTCATCATGAAGACAAGAAGATAGCCACAGACACTCACCATGAAGACAAGAAGACAGCCACAGACACTCATCATGAAGACAAGAAGACAGCCACAGACACTCATCATGAAGACAAGAAGACAGCCACAGACACTCATCATGAAGACAAGAAGACAGCCACAGACACTCATCATGAAGACAAGAAGACAGCCACAGACACTCATCATGAAGACAAGAAGACAGCCACAGACACTCATCATGAAGACAAGAAGACAGCCACAGACACTCATCATGAAACAAGAAGACAGCCACAGACACTCATCATGAAGACAAGAAGACAGCCACAGACACTCATCATGAAGACAAGAAGACAGCCACAGACACTCACCATAAAGACAAGCAGACAGCCACAGACACTCACCATAAAGACAAGAGAGAGGACAGCAGCGAGGGTTAGCTTGAAAAGTGCCCGCTTATCCTCTGGCAGCTCTCTTATGACATCGTGGCAGTGAGTGGAGGTAGAGGAGCCGCTGGACCTGCTGAACACCTGGTGGGGGGGGGGTAGAAAAAGGAGAACACATTGCTTCGGGTAACATGTCACAAGTTGTGTATGTTACCATCTATCAGAGGCGTTTGTCAGGTACCTCGTCTGTCTTTGTGTGAATGTGTGTTTACCTAGCTGAAATGGGGGTTGAACTGTGGCTCCAGCACCCATCTCTTAACTTTCTATCCACTGAATGATCTAGCTGTTTAATTTTGAAATCCTGTACAGAGTTAGCGAAAAGTATGCTCTTTCCGTATAGAGGATCGAGCCTCCACTTCTCCATGTGTTGAATTGACCCAAACGGGTTTAAGGCTTCATATATAATTATACTGATTTATCAATTTCTTTAATTTTTTTTTTTAATTCGTATTAAACGCTAAACCCATGTAGGTTATTCAGTGCAAGACGTGGTGGAGGCTCGATCCTCCGTCTCCTGAGCGCGACACAAACGCCCTAGAATTTAAGCTTCTGTAACTATTTACTAATATACGACTCAGTAAAATATTTGCTAAAACCATTCATTAAGCAGTCATGTCATAATTCAGTTTGTACGACATTGCCTGAATAATGTTAACATATATCAGATCTTTTTAATGTTTTTGACTCTGCATATTAGAGTACTGTTCAGATATTGACGGTCTACATCATTTTCATTAGTTCCATATTTAGGTTCCTGAAGGGAGTTCTTAAATTTTCCAGTCTTACATTTGCAGCTGATAGTACCATGTTGATGTTTACTTTAGGAGAGAGGGAGAGAGAGAGAGGGGAGAGAGAGAGAGAGAGAGAGAGGGAGAGAAAGAGGGTAGGTGTAATATCTGCCCATAATTTTTTGTATCTAATGTCATCAGTTGTGGTTGTCCCATAAGCCGTTTTCATATTTTCAGTATATTACACAAGTTGAGCAGCGCTGTATGACACTGCTGGTTTAGCGCTTAGTTTTGATTATAATAATAATAATTACACAAGTTGGGTTATGCTCTTTAAGCCATTTATTGGGCTAGTTCCACAGGCTGACCAAGTCTTCTTAGAGTTTCTTACTGTCATCCTTCATATTATCATTATCTTTGTATCAGTGGTAAACAGCCATTGATAAAAGTTCTCTCTCTCTCTCTCTCTCTCTCTCTCTCTCTCTCTCCAGAAACAGTATGAGTTCCAGAGGTGATCTTTGGAAGGCTGTACTTGTATCGCCACCTGATACTGTATTCTTTCTAATATAACTTGTAAGTAGTTTTGGTATACCTTAGCCTCCTGATTTCTTTCTCAGTATTTTCTAGTCCCACCACTGCTATTAGGTCCTCAACCTTCAGCATCTAATGTAAAGTGTATTTAATGTTGTACCATGCATGCAATAGAGAGATTCCGTTCAGTGCTGATGGATTAGATTCTCATTTTATCTCCATGTATTGCCAAAGTTTTAGTCTAAAAATTATGTTCCACATCTACCCCTCAGTAATGTGCCCTCTTAGGTTAGGTTAGGTAAGGTTTGTCAGGAAACAGAACAAGAGTTTCCTGACAAGGGTCTTAGTTATATGATAACCCGCAGCTCGAGGTTTTGGTCATTTGACCGAGGCCTTCCACTGGCTTACCCGTCCACTCCTTTAAAAAATATGTGGTTATGATTATAATCACTAGAGTGCTATTTGTGCCCTCTTACATAGACCTCTTTGCTAATTCATTTTGCTTCCCTGACGAGAAACTATACTACATTACTTTTAAATACTATTATTATAAATTATGCTAACTTAATCTCATCAATTACTTGTATTGTGCTCTACATAAGAACGTCTAAAATTTCCTCGTTTTTATATCTAATATATTGTATTTTGGGGAATTATCGATATAAATACTAAAATTGACTTCATTAATTATAACTGCGTTTACGGTATTTTGACATTGTTCAACATTTTCTTTGATGCGTATTCTTTCAGGAGAGACTCACCTCTTCGCTGCTGCCACTGCTCGTACTGCTGAAGCTGTCAGTGCGATGATGGCCGCTCCACACCTCGTATGTATCTTGAAAAGCAACAAGTAAGTTTTATTCAACAGCTTAAAATGTTCGTTTCATTTTGAAGAAATTGTCAGTCATTTAAAAGAAAAATCATCGACTACTTAACACTCTCGCAGACTTTTCGCTACCTTCACTGATCCAGCATTTATTTATTTATTTATTTATTTATTATTTAATTTGAACATGATACAGAGAAGTACAAGGAATACAATTTTTAAAGTGCAGCATGCCAAAGCCCCTTGTTAGCAGAGCATTATGGGCAGGCTTAGGCAGGCAAGGAACCTTCCTTCAGGGATCACACCCTCGCAAATACACCATTGACTGCCATCTTCATTGACCCAGCATCAAGGGGTCACACTCTCAGATACACCTCTGACTGCCACCTCCAAAGACCCAGCATCAAGGGGTCACACTCTCAGACACACCAATGACTGCCACCTCCAAAGACCCAGCATCAAGGGGTCACACTCTTGCAAACACACCACTGATCGCCACCTCCACTGAACCAGTCAGAGTTTGGTTTCGAATCTAGAATGTTCGTTGCCATTCCGCATACACATAGTTTTTTTTTTTCTGAAAAAATAATTTAATGTTACTATGACTGGTATAAATTTAGGCTTGTGACTCAGTGACAGTGACTTGGCTCAAGGACCAAAGACCCGGGTTCAGTGCCAGGGCAAGTGAAGACGTTGACATTTTTCCTTATACCTAATGTCCCTGTTTACCTAGCAATAATTAGCTACCTGGATGTTAAGCTGACTATTGTAGGTTGCATCCTTAGAAAGAAGACCAAAGGACCCAAGTGCAAATAAGCCACAATGGTTGGAAACCTTGGGTTATCCTGTAACCCTCCAGGGTTTCCTTTAGGTTTAAATTCAGTTTTTAATTTATCTGATGATTTACAAAGATAATGAGGTTTATATGTAATAAAACACTGTTAGGCACAAAAGATGCATTTTGGTCATAGATTACCTATAATCGCTTCTGGAGGTCATCGCCCCGCGGCCCGGTCCCAGACCAGGCCTTCTGTGTGCTAGCATGATTGACTAGATTGCTGGTGCTATCTGCACGCCCTCTAACGTACGGACGTATTCTTAATTAATTTTCACAGGTCAAGGGCATCTTTGATGGCCGATAGGCTTTCAACCTAATACCCCCAACCAAGTTGAAATGTCAAAGAAGAGGTTTTTCAGAGTGCATCAGGATTCCCGGTGGCTGCTGTCGTTCCTCAAGAGATAAATAAATAGGAAAACTGCGCCGAATTGTTCCAATCTAGCGTGTTTCCCGTACTTATCGGCTGGAGGATCGAGCCTCCACCACTCCTTGTGATGAATAACCACACGGCTTTAACTCGTAACTACCGTATTTTCCGGCATATAAGGCGCACGATATTTTAAGATGATGTTTCCAATCACTTGTAACGCAACAGTTAGTAAACAACTGCTAAAGCGTAACCCACAGCCTACCCTTGACCCTCACCTTCAGCATATAAGGCTAAGGGTGATTTTCCAAGATTTTTTGTGGGAAAAAAGTGTGTCCTATATGCCGGAAAATACGGTAATTACGTGATGTTAATGGGTTATCCTCCGGTATCAGCGCTCCGGGGTAAACAAATCCAATGAAAGGCTCATTTTCACTCATGCTTTTGTTAAGCCACATGGGTTTACCGCTTCATATAATCGTAAAACTTATCAGTTGCACGAAATTCATTAAGGTTTCAATAATAATAACCCCAGGCGCCGCATGAGCCACGTTAATGAAATGACAATCAATTAATCATATTAAAAAAATACTTTCGTGTAACTTCATTTTATTAAAATATTATGGAATCCTCTTGTTTTTTTGCATTATGTTCATTATATCTATAACTTACAATAAGATCAAGTAAACAGGTGATATCACAATATGCGGAACAACCCACTGTGAAAAAATAGTGAACTTCCAAGAGCTTTTGTGATTTCTCAGTTCCTTGATAATGTGAGAAATCACGAAATCCCTTGAACGCTCACCATGTTTTTACAGCAGTTGTTCTGTGTATAACTTAGACTGCGGTATCGATAAACTAGATAGTTTCAGAAGCTAGACTTGACTCCAGTACCATCAGGAAAATGAACCCTAACAGACTTACACTCACCCTGCTTGCTGGTGGCCTTGTAGCTGGCGAGTGAGCTGTCTTTACTGGAGTGCTGCGAGATGTGTGAGCGGCTGTGACTGCTGCTGCTGCTGCTGTTGCTGTACCCTGCACTCTGCTGCCCCTCATACACCTGCCCAGCCTCCAACAACCCCTGCTTCTCGTCCTGGCAGAGTTTAACAGGTAACAGATATTCAATTGTATGATAATCAGTGATTACCTACAAACCAGTTACTCTGCTGAAATTCGAAGTTAACTTTCAATTCCAGTACATTGAAAGTTAATCTTAATACTGAATTTCAGTACTGAAATTCAAAGCAACCCCCCCACCCCACCCCCTCCCATCCCTTGAAAAGACGTTACTGTTAGCATTAAATGAAAAATCTTGCGAAAAATCAATGAGAGTCACTTTACTTTTAACAGTTAGTGAAATCAATAAATTAACGCCATATTTTTACTTTTTATATTTTTTCAGTAAATCTATAATCTTCAGGCCCCTCAAGGAAGGTTCCTTGATGTTGGTGAGGGGCTCTTGATTTAGGGAATTGGATCTGTGCTCCAGTTCCCCGAATTAAGCCTGAATGCATTCCACATCCCCCCCCCAGGCGCTGTATAATCCTCCGGGTTTAGCGCTTCCCCCTTGATTATAATAATAATAATAATATAATCTTCAGGAAATTTTAATTTGTATTTTCAGAAAATTATCTAATGCTCGATAAAATTAATATAAAAGAAGGCAAAAGAGTATACAATGGTATATTATGGTGAATTACAATACGTCAATCACCGTCATCATCCTCATCACCTCGAGGATGAGGCACAAGGTAAATTAGCTGCCGTGTTCCCGTGGGTTTTTCTCCGCGTACAGCCCTTGTAAGCGACAATTATGATGGGAAACTTAAGCCAAAGTATCGGGTCTTGTACATGTCCGCGACGCTGACACGCCTCTGAGTCTCAGCTTCCAAGTTGTGCATCACCTTTTTATTTTGTTGTTCACAGCAGTGCACTTGTGATGAATAAGACACATGTGCAGCACATCGGTATCATTAGTGGTGGAACGTTTCGCTTGCGCAGCAGGCTTCTTCTGGAGAATATAACACGGTCTCTTATTCATCAGATACTTGTTAAGTAAAAGGACACAAGTGCAATTAATGTGACATTTTATTGTGGCAACGTTTTCTCTCTCCAGGAGCTTTGTCAAGCCGCTACGTTACGGCTTGACAAAGCCGTTACGTAATGTCGCATTAGTTGCACTTGCGTCCTTTTACCTAACATATTGTTGGTAATTGTACCAACATTATTCATCAGATACTTGTCTGACGCAGTAACACTATGGTATATTATGGTACAGGGTAAGTATCTACAGCTCCTGTCATACATAACTGTTTAGCATGACCTGCTTCCACTAGTGGGATACGCTCACTTTTGACGTCACCCTAAGCTGCTACACCTCATTTTTCCTCTTATATAGATAAGATCTGCCCGCGTGACCACGTTTGAGACTTGAGGACATGACCACCTTACTAAGGCTGAGGAGAGACTGATTACGTCATTGTTACTCCTGTTTTATATCCGCCAGTATTTGACTGACGAAGCTTGCTGTGCAGGCGAAACGTTTCGATAATAAAGATGCTTTTCGTGTTGTACATATGTCTTATTCATCACCTTGTCAAAGACAGATAGACTACTAGCATCAAAAGATATCCTAGTTAATTTTTTAAAGAGTGGAACGGTAGACCAGTGGAAGATAATGGTCAGATGAGCAGGAGCTGCAGTCAGCGGGACATCATATGATCAACACCTGTGCCAGGATTCAATTGTATTTTCTGACGAATCTCACCTAACCTAACCACCCATCGTAGGGTCTGTCTAGGGAGAAGGTGAGAGGGTATGAATAAGGTGCTGTTATGTTACAGTTACCCACGCTCACTGCATCATACCAAATCTTTGTCTACCTAATTAGCGTCCTTGTGATACCATCCGCTTTCTTGTGTAATAATCAGCTTTCGAGTTATACTATTCCCTCAGAGGATACGTACACTCAGTCTCTGAGGTTTTATATCTACATTGACGATGGTGAACAGCTCTTAACCCAAGGAATTGAAACTACCCTCACTTTTCTTAGATCAAACCAACTTACAACTCTTCCTAATTATTACTACTACTACAAGTAGCACACTTTCTCTCTCTCTCTCTCTCTCTCTCTCTCTCTCTCTCTCTCTCTCTCTCTCTCTCTCTCTCTCTCTCTCTCTCTCTCTCTCTCTCTCTCTCTCTCTCTCTCTCTCTCTCTCTCTTTCTCTCTCTCTCTGCTTCACTACTCACCACACAGACTCTTGTATAAAATTCAGGCAAGGTACCATAGCTTGCACCAGACTTCAGTTTTGCCTTCAGTTTCTTGCTCTCAGCCATGATTTGGATCCTTCCAGAACTTTATTTTCCACTCAGATTGCTCTCTCTCTCTCTGTCACGTGAATGATGTGCTCCTGCAGCTCCTAGTGGAAGGAACACACTTTAATTAAACATAAAAAAAATGTTGCACCAAAGTGTAGGGAAAAAGAACCTGATGTCATAATCGTAAGCAACAAACTGCCAGGCAGACCACTGAGCTGAGATATATGATCCTTCTGCAGCAAATCGGTATCTTTATTGCCAAAACGTTTCGCCTACGTAGTAGGTTTCTTCAGTCGATTAAGAGATTTTTAAAAGCTAGACAAATGAAGTTAGGCTCTTGATACAACAGAATCACCCAGATAAAAATTCTAAATTCTAAATTTAATTTTCCAAGTACTACACATATAACCTTTGAAATTATATAGTAGAGCATTTGGGCAGTTTAGACTCTGATCCACCAGGGGGCCTGGTCACAGACCGGGCCGCGGGGGCGTTGACCCCCGGAACTCTCTCCAGGTAAACTCCAGGGGTAAGAACCAACTAAAAAAATCTCATAGATGTGGAGTTCTCTAAGCTTATGAGTCTAGCACAGAGTATTGACAGGAGATAAAAAGTAATAGCTATTAACATATTACAAGACTTCTACAAGTGGTCATTATCTTCATGGGCAGCAGCAGCTTGTACCAGCGAGCGTCGTCGTCCAGCAGGCGATACTAGGAAATATAAACATGATATATACACATACTAATGCTCTCGGGGACATATATATATATATATATATATATATATATATATATATATATATATTATATATATATATATATATATATATAAATACATACATACCAGACGTAACTCCTATTATGAACGGATGGTGGTCGTGTATAGAGCTCTAAGACAGAAAGAATTAGATTCGTGTACAAACCTCCCAGACAGAGAGGAGTAAAATCGGGTATAGACTTTCCAGTCAAGAGAGGGTTAGAATCGGGTACAGACTTTCCAGTCAGGATTGGAATCGGGTATAGACCTCCCAGATAGAGGATTGGGATCGGGTATAAACCTCCCAAAGAGGACTGAAGTCATGTACAGACCATCCAGACAGGAAAGTGGATCTACTCTTCCCTTACTTAGATCAAAACCTGACTGCCTCCCACTCCCCAAGTTATGTATGGCCTCTCCGAGAGTAGCGCTTCCCTGTAAATATAGAACAATATTCAAGAAGCAAATATGGTAATTATCACGATCACTTTAGGTTCCTGTGCCACCTACAACGTGAGAAATATCTTGGACTTCACCTGACCTTGGAGAGCGACCAAATACATATTTGTGATGCGGGTTAATAATTTTGTAGCAGCCATCTTAATATTATCCAATCCTATTTAAGGTGTTCCGTTCGATTGCTAGCGCACTCAACTCAAGCCCTGAGTTCTGTGGTTCGATCCCTGGTGCAGGTGAAAATATTACGACGTGTTTCCTTAAGACATCTGTTGTCCATGTTCACCTGTCCGTAAAATAGGTACCTGGGTGTTAGTCGACTGGTGTGGGTTGAATCCTGGCGACAAAATTGACCTAATTTGCCCGAAATGCTCAGCATAACAAAGGGCTTTCTATATAGTAGTATGTCATTGGTGTCAGCTAGGACTGTATACCTTGTACATGTACTTGTAGTAAATAAAGATGATGACAGTGAACGTAAATTCTGAAGAAAAGACACAGGTTGCAAAAGAAGCTTTAATTGGGATAGTTTCGCTCTGTATAGAGCTTTATTTTAGAGCGAAACTTGTACGAATAAAAAAGTGTTGCGCAACCAGTCTTTCCTTCACTGCTTTAATGGTATACAATACGGAGAAGTTGACGAATAAAACACATGTCCAATACTTGGGTATTTTTATTGTGCCATAATAAAGATACCCAAGTGTTAAACAAGTGTATTAATCATCAGTTTCTTCACTGTTGTTTGCAGTACAACAATTAGATCCAACACAAATTTTATTATTATGATAATTCCCAGGTAGAGAGGAGGGGGGGGGGGCTTAACCGACGGTCTAGAGGCACGGTAATAAACCATAGTTTGCTTAGCAGGTTGAACTGTAACGTTAATATCTTCCACCGATCAAAGAAATAAACATTAGGGGAAACATTACGTAATGTGTATAAGTACTGGAAGGGATAAATTCTTCCAGAAAAGTCTTGTGCTCGGATTGTGATGGGTCTGTGTGTTGTCCTAATCATATTTCACGTAATACTCGATCCCAGGCTCTTGTGTTTACATTTATACAACATAGTGGATGTGATAGGACATAAGAGCAAGTTTGTTTCCTGTCTTAGTCATAAGTGACGTGTGGCCTTCGTCGTGGCGGCTGTGACGCAGACCTCACTGTTCATCTCATGTGTTATCACACTAGACCACATCCTGCCTCTAAGCCTTTTAGTACTGAAAGCAATATGGCCGTTGTCTTTTAATTGGAGTAATCACCTGGCTCAGGTGTACCTGTAGTTGTTTACCCACTGAAAGGTCATCATATGACAAGACCTGCGTCAGGGTGGACCCCAAACCCAGGTATACCAGTGATTGCTTAGTCAATGAATGGGTCATCCTATGAAGACCCAGATTGTGGTGGATCCCCAGCCCAGGTACACCAGTGGTTGCATAGTCAATGAGTCGGTTATCCTATAGCAAGACCTGTGTCACTAAAAAAAATCCTGACGAAGAAAGCACCATCATTACCATTTGATCTTCCCCCTGACGCTGGGTCACTTTAACACGGTGGCGGATTTTGAGTGGTCTGAGCCTAGGCAGAGGACCTCGTCTCTGGAAGGAGCGCCACTCTCCTCACAGATCGAGGTCTGGCTGGCTGATGGCCAAGACATTTTGCAAAACTGGTGAGAAATCAGAAAAAGGACCAGCCACAAGTGGTGTTCCACAAGGGCCAGTGTTGATCCCCGAGGATCGATCACAAATGGTGTTCCACAAGGACCAGTGTTGATCCCCCAAGGATCGGTCACAAATGGTGTTCCGCAACGACCAGTGTTGAGCCCCGACAATCAGTCTCAGGTGGTGTTCCACAAGGACGAACGATAAGCTCCTTGTTCCTCACAATCTGCATTAACTCGCTAAGGGGGGATATACTATGGGAAAGAGCAAAACCTGGATTAATCATACAGATTTTACCCTTCGAGAGAGAGGTATCCTGATGCATACGAGGGGCTCTTGATCCAAGGAACTGGATCAAGAGCCTCTCCCCTTCCTTGGACTAAACATGAAATCCTTCCATCATTTTCATCCTATTCCTCAGGCGCTAGATGACCCCATGTTATGCTGAGCATTTCGGGCAAATTAGTTCAGTTTTGTCCCAGGATGTGACCCACACAAATCCACTAACACCCAGGTACCCATTTTACTGATGGGTGAAAAGAGACAGCAGGTGTCTTATGGAAACAGGTTCCTAATGTTTTCAGCCGTACCGGAGGAGATTCGAACTCCGGACCTCAGTGTGTGAGCTGAGCGCGCTAGCGATCGAGCTACGGGACATGAGCAGAAACTGCGGTGAATAGGTCACCATGACTAAGACCGGTGTCACGAACCACCTGTCCTGTTTCCTGACGAACAAACAGCCATGTATAGACCCCAAGGTCTGTATGATAATAATCATACAGACCTTGATGAGAGAAATGAAAATTACCTGGAGTTTACCTGGAGAGAGTTCCGGGGGTCAACGCCCCCGCGGCCCGGTCTGAGACCAGGCCTCCTGGTGGATCAGAGCCTGATCAACCAGGCTGTTGCTGCTGGCTGCACGCAAACCAACATACGAGCCACAGCCCGGCTGATCCGGAACTGACTTTAGGTGCTTGTCCAGTGCCAGCTTGAAGACTGCCAGGGGTCTGTTGGTAATCCCCCTTATGTGTGCTGGGAGGCAGTTGAACAGTCTCGGGCCCCTGACACTTATTGTATGGTCTCTTAACGTGCTAGTGACACCCCTGCTTTTCATTGGGGGGATGGTGCATCGTCTGCCAAGTCTTTTGCTTTCGTAATGAGTGATTTTCGTGTGCAAGTTCGGTACTAGTCCCTCTAGGATTTTCCAGGTGTATATAATCATGTATCTCTCCCTCCTGCGTTCCAGGGAATACAGGTTTAGGAACCTCAAGCGCTCCCAATAATTGAGGTGTTTTATCTCCGTTATGCGCGCCGTGAAAGTTCTCTGTACATTTTCTAGGTCGGCAATTTCACCTGCCTTGAAAGGTGCTGTTAGTGTGCAGCAATATTCCAGCCTAGATAGAACAAGTGACCTGAAGAGTGTCATCATGGGCTTGGCCTCCCTAGTTTTGAAGGTTCTCATTATCCATCCTGTCATTTTTCTAGCAGATGCGATTGATACAATGTTATGGTCCTTGAAGGTGAGATCCTCCGACATGATCACTCCAGGTCTTTGACGTTGGTGTTTCGCTCTATTTTGTGGCCAGAATTGTTTTGTACTCTGATGAAGATTTAATTTCCTCATATTTACCATATCTGAGTAATTGAAATTTTCTCATCGTTGAACTTCATATTGTTTTCTGCAGCCCACTGAAAGATTTGGTTGATGTCTGCCTGGAGCTTTGCAGTGTCTGCAATGGAAGACACTGTCATGCAGATTCGGGTGTCATCTGCAAAGGAAGACACGGTGCTGTGGCTGACATCCTTGTCTATGTCGGATATAAGATGAGGAACAAGATGGGAGTGAGTACTGTGCCTTGTGGAACAGAGCTTTTCACCGTAGCTGCCTCGGACTTTACTCTGTTGACGACTACTCTCTGTGTTCTGTTATGAGGAAATTATAGATCCATCGACCGACTTTTCCTGTTATTCCTTTAGCACGCATTTTGTGCGCTATTACGCCATGGTCACACTTGTCGAAGGCTTTTGCAAAGTCTGTATATATTACATCTGCATTCTTTTTGTCTTCTAGTGCATTTAGGACCTTGTCGTAGTGGTCCAATAGTTGAGACAGACAGGAGCGACCTGTTCTAAACCCATGTTGCCCTGGGTTGTGTACTGATGGGTTTCTAGATGCGTGGTGATCTTGCTTCTTAGGACCCTTTCAAAGATTTTTATGATATGGGATGTTAGTGCTATTGGTCTGTAGTTCTTTGCTGTTGCTTTACTGCCCCCTTTGTGGAGTGGGGCTATGTCTGTTGTTTTTTAGTAACTGTGGACGACCCCCGTGTCCATGCTCCCTCTCCATAGGATGGAAAAGGCTCGTGATAGGGGCTTCTTGCAGTTCTTGATGAACACAGAGTTCCATGAGTCTGGCCCTGGGGCAGAGTGCATGGCATGTCATTTATCGCCTGTTCGAAGTCATTTGGCGTCAGGATAACATCGGATAGGCTTGTGTTAATCAAATTTTGTGGCTCTCTCATAAAAAATTCATTTTGATCTTCGACTCTCAGTCTGGTTAGCGGCTTGCTAAAAACTGAGTCATATTGGGACTTGAGTAGCTCACTCATTTCCTTGCTGTCATCTGTGTAGGACCCATCTTGTTTAAGTAGGGGCCCAATACTGGACGTTCTCGATTTTGATTTGGCATAGGAGAAGAAATACTTTGGGTTTCTTTCGATTTCATTTATGGCTTTTAGTTCTTCCCGCGATTCCTGACTCCTAAAGGATTCTTTTAGCTTAAGTTCGATGCTTGCTATTTCTCTGACCAGTGTCTCCCTACGCATTTCAGATATATTGACCTCTTTTAGCCGCTCTGTTATTCTTTTCCGTCGCCTGTAAAGGGAGCGCCTGTCTCTTTCTGTTTTACATCTACTCCTCCTTTTTCTTAGATGAATAAGCCTTGTGCATTCATCGAGTGCCACCAAGTTAATCTGTTCTAGGGATAAGTTGGGGTCTGTGTTGCTTGTATATCTTCCCAGCTTATATCGGTTAGGACTTGGTTTACTTGGTCCCACTTTATGTTTTTGTTATTGAAGTTGAATTTGGTGAATGCTCCCTCGTGACTAATCTCATTATGTCGGTCTGGGGCTCCGCGCATACATGACTGAACCTCAATTATGTTGTGATCTGAGTATATTGTTTTTGATATGGTGATATTTCTTATCAGATCATCATTGTTAGTGAAGATGAGGTCTAGTGTATTCTCCAGTCTAGTAGGCTCTATTATTTGCTGGTTTAAATTGAATTTTGTGCAGAGATTTAAAAGCTCGCGTGAGTGTGAGTTTTCATCAGAGCTGCCTCCTGGTGTTATTACTGCAACAATATTATTTGCTATATTCCTCCATTTTAGGTGCCTTAAGTTGAAATCCCCCAGGAGCAAGATGTTGTGACAACTTATGTCCTGTACATGTATATTTATATCAAGGGGAGAGAATACAACCATAAGACAGGTTATCGACCTTAGGGCTAACTTCAGTCCTAACACTTATCGTCTCACTCACTTTCCTGAGGTGGACAGTCTACCTTTGATGCGTCTTCCATAGTGTTTTTCACATATTTTGTTTGCATTTATTGCATTAAGATTTTAGAAGAAAAGGTCGTGATTCCAAATTTGATATCACAATAAGACGCTAATATGAACACAAACACGCGGCAAGAAGATTTACCTTCACTCACACGTGAGAGTTGTGTTAATTTGATGTTTTTTTAGCTGAACTCAAGTGAAGGTGTGTGCTGAAAATGGCGTCTGTAAGTGGTGGAGGTTCAGGTGTCATGTACACCAAAGAACACGAAGATACACAGTGTTATACCTGGAGAGGGTTTCGAGGGTCAACGCCGCCGCGCCTGGTCTGAGACCAGGCCTTGTGGTGGATCAGTTCTGATCAACCAGGCTGTCACTGCTGGCCTCCAGCAAACTGACGTACGAACCATGGCCTGGCTGGTGTTTGTTCGACACCAAATGATACACACAGGACAGGCAAGTACACAAAATGATCTTGTGTTTCTTCGACACTAAATGATAGACACAGAGAGGGCTATACAGTGTAATACTGAGTGAGTTACACGAGGGTCACACAGCACACACGCGATCTTGCAGCATAACCCAGGAACACTGACGGTGCAAGAGACGTTGCAGAGGAAGACAGTGCAACAGGGTATTAGGGTATAAGGTGTTTTCTTCAAGTAGAAACACTACCACCTGGGAAAATTACACCTACTACACCACCAACACCATCACCACCACCTGTACGTAGCACCACCATCAGGACCCATGCAGCCAACACGAGTAACACCACCTGCACAAGTAACAGCAGTAGTATCTGCCGGCCTCCACCACGTCACTCAGGAGACAACAGTTGAGACCCTCGTGACCAGAGATAAGCTCCTCGTTCCTTCAGAAGTCATGCCTCGGGGTGCCTCAACATACACTGCGTCCTTTGCCGTTTAGTGCTAATACATGCAGCCACTTGTTTCCATTCTCCTAAAAACTTCACGTCAGTAAACAGCAATACACTGAATTTGAGTCCTACGGTTAAGAAATTCAATGGCCCTAGTGCCTATCCTTGGGGACCAAATTTTCATTCTCGCCTATCCTGATGTTTCCTCCCTTGCCCTCACATTCTGTCTCATCTACTAATTTGTTGATTAATATCCTGAGTGGTATTGTATCAAATAACTTTATGTGGTCCAAGAAAATGGAATCAATCGTTCCTTGTTTCTCTTGCTTGGTTTTCTTTATTCTGTCATGAAATTCCAACAGGGTGCTTGAGACAGGACTTCCGGTTCTTAATAAGACTATGGAACTGCAGTGATACATGAAGAGGGACGATATGGAACAAATGACACATATATGCAGTGGACAAAGTTATTAACCACAACATTTCGCCCATACAGTGGGTTTATCAAGTCTTTATCAAGTCTGTACAAGATAAACATTGTCATTAATAAAAATTATCCGTTGCATCTAAGTGTTGTTAGGCCATAAGAAGGATGGCAAGATTGAGGAGGATAAGAACTGAGGTTACCTGAAGTGTTTCAGAGGTCAGTTTCCCCCTTTCCCCATAGGGTCCCAGTTCCAGGAAAGGCCTCAAAAACATGTACCAGTGGCATCTGGTGTTCTATCCAAGTACTAAGCCTAACATTGCTTAACTTCGCTGATCAGACAATAAGTGGTGTATTCAACGTGGTATGGCTGTAAGCTGAACAAAAGGTTATGAGTAGACAGGAAGGCAGAAGTAAGAAATATTAAGTGGCTTGACCGCTTTGAGTAGGGTTTAAGGGACTTGTTTTTGCTGCATAGTGACGACTGTGTTAGTCAAAGCTTTCCAAGAGCCATGTCCTAATTTTTTTTTTCAACGAAGTTCCTCCTCTCCAGGTGTGTGTGTGTGTGTGTGTGTACTCACCTAGTTGAGGTTGCAGGGGTCGAGTCCGAGCTCCTGGCCCCGCCTCTTCACTGGTCGCTACTAGGTCACTCACCCTGAACCGTGACCTTTATCATACCTCTGCTTAAAACTATGTATGGATCCTGCCTCCACTACATCGCTTCCCAAACTGTTCCACTTACTGACTACTCTGTAGCTGAAGAAATACTTCCTAACATCCCTGTGATTCATCTGTGTCTTCAACTTCCAACTGTGTCCCCTTGTTTCTGTGTCCAATCTCTGGAACATCCTGTCTTTGTCCACCTTGTCAATTCCTCTCAGTATTTTGTATGTCGTTATCATGTCCCCCCTATCTCTCCTGTCCTCCAGTGTCGTCAGGTTGATTTCCCTTAACCTCTCCTCGTAGGACATACCTCTTAGCTCTGGGACTAGTCTTGTTGCAAACCTTTGCACTTTTTCTAGTTTGTTTACGTGCTTGTGTGTGTGTGTGTGTGTGTGTGGTGTGTGGTGTGTGTGTGTGTGTGTGTGTGTGCGCGCACTTGCCTGTTTCCGTGGGAAAGGAGTTATAACTCCTGGTACTTGATTTAACAAGCAACTAACTACTGCAATGATTAGCTAACAGGAGAGAAGAGAGGGTTCACTGGTATGGATATATATGGGAAGCCTGTCTATATCGTTTAAATTTCGCGAATAGCAAACAGAGGATCGAGCCTCCGCCACTTCTGCAACACTGCAAGCTCCTGATGATGTGTTTATTGCAACATGAAAGGCCTAGAGCTGTCTTTCAACTCGCCCCGAGGCTGTTTTGCATTATATTTTTATATTGTATGTGTGTTATTGTTGTATTGTGTGTGTGTTATTGTTGTATTGTGTGTGCGTTATTGTTAGGTAAGACATATGCAACAGTTAGGTATCTTTATTTCGAAACGTTTCGCCTACACAGTAGGCCTACTGTGTAGGCGAAACGCTTCGTAATAAAGATACCTAACTGTTGCATATGTGTCTTACCTAACAACCTGTCGGTATTTTATACTATTTTAATATCCACTCTGTGTGCGTTATTGTTATTGTATTGTGTGGGTGTTACTGCTGGTATATCGTGTGGGTGTGATATAGGCCTGACACAACACTGCTCACCCAGAAACACAAAAAAAAAAAAATGCTGGACTTGGCGACCCCTTTGTTAAAGATCTGTCTGTGTGGCTTCAACTGGCATCAAATGACCTCTTGATCCTCAGAGACGTAAGGCAGATGGACAGAAGAACATACAGCGTAGAGGACACATTATTATTATTATTATTATTATTATTATTATTATTATTATTATTATTATTATTATTATTATTATTCTGTAAATATGCATATATGTTCGTATGTATGTATGAAGGTATGCATGATATATATATATAATATATATATATATATATATATATATATGCTGCCATTTGAATATTGCACTTCCTCTACCACCCCATCTTTTCATTCTTTTTACCAATAGGTATATTTTATATGTATGTATGTACGTGTAGAGGGGTGAAAGAGCGTTGGATTGGTTTCTACATGAAATGGATAAACCTTTAGCTTCGGCGTAGAATGAGGGAGAGACGGAGGGCGAGGAAGAGATAGTGAGAGAACTTACCATTCCTCGCCTGACCGGCATTTGGAACAGGCTCTCACTACGATATATATATATATATATATCTATATATATATATATATATATATATATATATATATATATATATATATATAATATATATATTTGTTTCTGACAGTTGATATTTTAACAGAATTATTTGATATTGATTATATTCACAGAATGCATAAAACATGTATGGCCTGATTGGTTTATTAGGTTTAAAGCCTATCCACTACAGTAAGGTTGCTAAGACTGCATTTCAACTGTACTCCACCAGTCAAGAATATTTTTTTATTCCTAAAGTAGTTATTTATTAAACTATCACTGTATATACACCAACTCTGATACAGAGTTAGCAGGTTCGAGTCCTGCTGTGAACGTAGAGACAATAATAAGTTTCAAAACGAGCTTAATGCCTGGGGATATTGGGTAACATCGCTTAGCTTCGGCTAAGCGCCCATACTTATCGCAGGTCTAGTCTCGTTGTAAAGTACTGCGAACTCTGATACACAGTTAGCAGGTTCGAGTCCTACTGTGGACGTAGTGACAATGTTTGTAAATAATTTCGCCTGTTTGCGAATTGTTAAGCACATCAAGAGATATACACTAAAAGGTCTATACATGGCTGTTTGTTCGTCAGAAAACAGGACAGGTGGTTCGTGACACCGGTCTTAGTCATGGTGACCTATTCACCGCAGTTTCTGCTCATGTCCCGTAGCTCGATCGCTAGCGCGCTCAGCTCACACACTGAGGTCCGGAGTTCGAATCTCCTCCGGTACGGCTGAAAACATTAGGAACCTGTTTCCATAAGACACCTGCTGTCTCTTTTCACCCATCAGTAAAATGGGTACCTGGGTGTTAGTGGATTTGTGTGGGTCACATCCTGGGACAAAACTGAACTAATTTGCCCGAAATGCTCAGCATAACAAGCGGCTTTCTGTATAGTAGTATGTTATTGATATCAGCTAGGACTTTATACCATGTACATGTACTTGTACAAATAAAGATTATTATTATTATATTATGTAACCGAGTTGTCCCTCAGGTTTACTGGTGTACCCAGTGGTGGACCAACATTTCTGGGGTCCCTGCAGCTTGAACTGTTATGGTCACCTTCACAACCACCAACGTCTACCCTACATCATACTTTAATAACCTTTTCATTTTTATTTTAGTTATTGTTTTGTACTGAATTACACCATATTATTAATATTATTAAAAAAAACTCATACAGGAGACCCAAAAATTTTAAACAATGTGGACTAAAGTGGCTTATGGTGCCCCTCCGGGATTAGGGGCCCTGAAGCTTAAGCTTCATTAGTTTCATAGTAACTCCGCCCATGGGTCCTCCAAGTAAAGAGTGCAATAATGACCCGTCACTGGTCTAGGCTTCCACTGGCTTACTGGTCCACCTAATAAAGAGTGCAATAATAACCCGTCACTGGTCTAGGCTTCCACTGGCTTACTGGTCCACTTTATAAAGAGTGCAATAATAACCCGTCACTGGTCTAGGCTTCCACTGGCTTACTGGTCCACATTATAAAGAGTGCAATAATAACCCGTCACTGGTCTAGGCTTCCACTGGCTCTCTGGACACAGGTTTAACACTTAGAAAATCAGGATCATTAACTAGCAATGTCCTAAGTTATGTATTAATATTTAACCATGAGAGCTTAATAACTAGTAATCGCTGAGTGCTCATAAGCAAGTGTATTTAGCGTACTCTTGCAAACTGCAAGAGTGCGTGTGCAGTGCTGCAACACAGTTACTATGCTAGCAACACTGCCTTATGATCTCTAGAATAATAAAAACATAGTTAATTATTAAAGGAATTACTACAGAGAGAAGGGAAAAAGAGGTTCTTCATTCTTAAGAAGAAAATTTGATAATTTCATGCAGAAGGTGAGTCTCCATCCTGGGTTGTGGTGTACAGTTTACACTGTGGTCATGAAGCTGCTAGTCATCTTTTCACCACCAGACAAGGATGATAGTCATCTTTTCACCACCAGACAAGGATGATAGTCATCTTTTCACCACCAGACAAGGATGATAGTCATCTTTTCACCACCAGACAAGGATGATAGTCATCTTTTCACCACCAGACAAGGATGATAGTCATCTTTTCACCACCAGACAAGGATGATAGTCATCTTTTCACCACCAGACAAGGATGATAGTCATCTTTTCACCACCAGACAAGGATGATAGTCATCTTTTCACCACCAGACAAGGATGATAGTCATCTTTTCACCACCAGACAAGGATGATAGTCATCTTTTCACCACCAGACAAGGATG